GGCTATAGGGCCATGTTCTAGAGGCATTTCTCCTGACGTTTCGCCTGCATCTATGGCAAGCATCCTCAGAGGTAGTGAGGTCTGTTGGAAATAGGAAAATGGGTTTATATATCTGTGGAATGACTGGGGTGGGGCAGAGAGCTCTCTGCTGAAGCTAGGTGTGAATGTTTCAGCTGACCACCTTCATTAGCATTTGAAGGCCTGCCTGAGCCTGGGAAAATGTTCTGTTGAGAGGTGTTAAGCTGTGCCTGGTTGTTTCCTCTCTGCTGTTTTGTTGTTGTGATTTTAGAGTTTTTTAATACTGGTAGCCAGATTTTGTTCATTTTCATGGTCTCTTCCTTTCTGTTGAAATTGTCCACATGCTTCTTGTGGATGTCAATGGCTTCTCTGTGCAGTCTGACATGGTGGTTGTGAGAGTGGTCCAGCACTTCTGTGTTCACAAATAATATGCTGTGTCCAGGCTGGTTCATCAGGTGCTCTGCTATGGCTGACCTCTCTGGTTGGAGTAGTCTGCAGTGCCTTTCATGTTCCTTGATGCGTGTTTGGTCCATGCTGCTGTGTTTGGTGGTCCCTCTGTAGACTTCTTGTCCACAGCTGCATGGTATACGGTAGACTCCTGCAGAGGTGAGAGGATCCCTCTTGTCAGGACTTCAACAGCCTCCTTAGTAGCAGGTGAAAAGGAGTGACAGAGTTGGACATCATCTGCGTACAGATGACACCGCACCCCAAAACTCCGGATCCTATCTTAACCTAGATCCTAAGCCTCCAGTTTCCTCACAAATGCACTCTTTCTGGAAAACTCTAACCCACTTGACAGGTCAAGGATCTATGGAGAAAAAACAGGGGTTTTAGGCAGAAGAAGACCTCTCCTTTTAGGGGATGGAAAGACAGGCCAGACAGAAGGGGGAACACAGATGTAGATATGTAGATATCTACATAAAAACTCCAACCATCACCCAAGTCAAAAAAGAAGCCCCATTAAAGCCTTGGCAGACCATGCAAAGAGAATCTGCGAACCCCACCTCCTCCAAGATGAACTGAACCACCTCAACTGGGCTTTACAGGCCAATGGAGACTCCACCTCAGACATCAGAAGAGCTGCAAGACCGAGAACAAGCAACGAGAGTAAAGATGAAGATCCACCCAGAGGAAAAGTGTTCCTGCCATACATCAAGGGAACCACTGACCGCAGAGGGAAGCTGATGAGGAAACATAACATACAAACAATCTACAAACCCACCAAGAAAATCCAACAAATGCTACGCTCAGCAAAGGAGAAGAGGGATCCTCTCACCTCTGCAGGAGTCTACCGTATACCATGCAGCTGTGGACAATAAGTCTACATAGGGACCACCAAATGCAGCAAGGCCCAGACACGCATCAAGGAACATGAAAGGCACTGCAGACTACTCCAACCAGAGAAATCAGCCATAGCAGAGCACCCGATGAACCAGCCTGGACACAGCATATGATTTGAGAACACAGAAATGCTGGACCACACCAACAACCACCATGTCAGACTACACAGAGAAGCCATTGAAATCCACAAGCATGTGGACAATTTCAACAGAAAGGAAGAGACCATGAAAATGAACAAAATCTGGCTACCGGTATTAAAAAAAACTCTAAAATTACAACAACAAAACAGCAGAGAGGAAACAACCAGGCACAGCTTAACACCTCTCAACAGAACATTTTCTCAGGCTCAGGCAGGCCTTCAAATGCTAATGAAGGTGGTCAGCTGAAACATTCACACCTAGCTTCAGCAGAGAGCTCTCTGCCCCACCCCAGCCATTCCACAGATATATAAACCCATTTTCCTATTTCCAACAGACCTCACTACCTCTGAGGATGCTTGCCATAGATGCAGGCGAAACGTCAGGAGAAATGCCTCTAGAACATGGCTCTATAGCCCGAAAAAACCTACAAGAACACAGTATTTTCTGTTGGACATTGGGTTCTGTGTGAGAAGTTTGACCCAATTCTATCATTTGTGGGGTTCAGAATGTTCTTTGATTGTAGGTGAATGCTGAATCCCAGCAACTACAACTCCCAAAAGTCAAGGTCTATTTTTTCCCCAAACTCCGCTAGTGTTTGTATTTGGGCATATTATTTGTCCCAAGTTTGGTTCAGATCTATCATTGTTTGAGTCCACAGTGCTCTTAGATGTAGGTGAACTACAACTCCAAAACTCAAGGTCAATGCCCTTCCAATATTTTTCTGTTGGTCATGGGAGTCCTGGGTGCCAAGTCTGGTTCAATTCCATTGCTGATGGAGTTCAGAATGCTCTTTGATTGCAGGTTAACTATCAATCCCAGCAACTATAACTCTCAAATGACAAAATAAATCCCGTCCATCAATCCCACCAGTATTCAAATTTGGACGTATTGTGTATTTGTGCCAAATTTTGTCCGGTGAATGAAAATACATTCTGCAGATCAGATATTTACATGACGATTCATAACGGTAGCAAAATGACAGTTATGAAGTAGCAACGAAAATAATGTTGTGGTTGGGGGTCACCATAACATGGGGAGCTATATTAAGGGGTCGCAGCATTAAGAGGGTTGAGAACCACTGTTTTAGAGGGTAAGGTAGGGTTGCTTGACCCAACAGAGGAGATTTTGCAGAACAGGGAGTTATTGTTGATTCAGGGAAGGCACACGGGAACAACCACGTTTTCAAGCTCCTCCTAAAGTCTGCCAAAGTGGGGGTTTGCCTCATATCCTTGGGGAGCGAGTTCCAGATTCGAGGGGCCATCACAGAAAAGGTGGCCCCATCGTCCCAGGAACAAGAGTCCTTGTGCAGAGGGATAGGCAGAGAAGGGCAACGGGAGGGGGGGGGCTTTCCACGCCTTGGGGGGGGGGGGGGGGGGGCCCCGATCCCTGCCCTCCTCCTCCTCCTCCTCTCCTCCTCTTGCTGCCCTGCTTTCGCTTTCCTTTCCGGCCATGGCAGAGGCGGAGATGCAGACCCCCGATGCGTTGGGCCACTTGTCGAACTCAAGTGTCTATGCTGGGGGGCGGCCAGGGGCGGAAGGAGACCCCCCAGAGGTGGACCCCCGGGATGATTTAGCCGAGCCGGGCCGCCCTGCGCCTGGGGACCCGCCGCCTGCCAAGGTAAGGAAAGGAGCCAGAGGAGGAGGAGGAGGAGGAGGAGAGAGAAGAGGGGTGCAAAGCAGGCTGGCCTTGGTGCCAAAGGAGACCCTCCCCTGGGTGGAAAAGAGGAGAGGGCACCAGGCGGAGAAGCCTCCCCCTCGCTCTCATTTCCTGGAAAGGAAAGGAAAAGCGGGGCCGAAGAAGCGCCCGCCCAAGGTTTCTCAACCTTCCTAATGTCGCAACCCCTTAATGCAGTTCCTCGTGTTGTGTTGACCCCCCCAACTATCACATTATTTCCGTTGCTACTTCACAATTGTCATTTTGCTCCTGTTATGAATCGTCATGTAAACAGCTGATAGGCAGGATGGATTTTCTTTCACTAATTTGGCACAAATACCCAATACGCCCAAATTTGGATACTGGTTGGGTTGGGAGGGATTGGTTTTGTCATTGGGGAGTTGTAGTTACTGGGATTTATAGTTCGCCCATCCAGAGAGCACTGTGGACTCAAATAATGATGGATCTGAACCAAACTTGGCACTATTACTCAATATGCCCAAATGTGAACACCGGTGGAATTTGGGGAAAGTCAACCTTGACATTTGGGAGTTGTAGTTGCAGGGATTTATAGTTCACCTACAATCAAAGAGCATTTGGGAGTTGTAGTTGCTGGGATTTGTAGTTCACCAACAATCAAAGAGAACTCTGAACTCCACCAACGATGGAATTGAACCAATCTTGGCACATAGAACTCCCATCACCAACAGAAAATACTGGAAGGCTTTGGCGGGCATTGACCTTGAATTTTGGAGATGTAGTTCACCTATATCCTGAGAATATTATGGACTCAAACAATGATAGATCTAGATCAAACTTGACATAAATACTCAATATGCCCGAAAGTGAACACTGATGGGGAAAACAGACCTTGATATTTGGGAGTTGTAGTTGCTGGGATTTATAGTTCACCTCTAGGAGCCCCTGGTGGCGCACTGGGTTAAACCCCTGTGCTGGCAGGCTTGAAGACTGACAGGTCACGGGTTCAAATCCAGGGAGAGCATGGATGAGATCCCTCTATCAGCTCCAGCTCCTCATGGGGGGACATGAAAGAAGCCTCCCACAAGGATGATAAAGCATCAGAACATCCGGGCGTCCCCTGGGCAACATCCTTGCAGACGGCCAGTTCTCTCATACCAGAAGCAACTTGCAGTTTCTCAAGTTGCTCCTGACACAACAACAAAAAAAGTTCGCCTACAATCAAAGAGCATTCTGAACCCCACCAGCGATGGAATTGAACCAAACTTGGCTCACAGAACTCCCATCACCAACAGAAAATACTGGAAGGCTTTGGCGGGCATTGACCTTGAATTTTGGAGTTGTAGTTCACCTACATCCAGAGAGGACTGTGGGCTCAAACAATGATGGACCTGGACCAAACTTGGCACGAATACTCAATATGCCCAAATGTGAAGACTGGTGGAGTTTGGTGAAAATAGACCTTGACATTTGGGAGTTGTCGTTGCTGGGATTTATAGTTCAGCTACAATCAAAGAGCATTCTGAACTCCACCAATGACAGAATGGGGCCAAACTTCCCATGACCCACAGAAAATGCTTTGTTTTCTGGTGGTCTTTGACAACCCCTCTGACACCCCACTCAGGACCCCCCCCCCCCAGGGGTCCCAACCCCCAGGTTGAGAAATGCTGCACCAGCCAAAGGGGAGCTAGACCTCCCAGAGGAAATAGACCAGTCCTGGGCCATCTTTGGCCCTCCCTCCTGGTGTCTCTACGTCATTCTCTGCATTAATATCATTGACCAAACCATTGCCATCTTGACCCCACTTCTCCTTTCCACCCGCATCTATGTATCCTACCAAAAGCACTGGAGAGAGTGGTGCTAAGAATAATGGACATGAGCCAGCAGTGTGATGCTGCAGCAAAGAAGGCAAATACAACAATGGGTGGATATGTGCCCTTACTTTCCAGACTTTTTTTTCATGTCAGGAATGACTTGAGAAATTGCAAGTTGCTTCTGGTGTGCAAGGATGTTGCCCAGGGAATGCCCGGATGTTTGATGTTTTACCATCCTGTGGGAGGCTTCTCTCATGTCCCTGCATGGGAGCTGCCTGAATTTGAACCACTGACGTTTCGTCAGCAGTCCTGCCCATTGCACCACTGTGGGCTCCATTCAAGACTTAGGCCAGGCATTCTTAGATATGGTTTTGCCAATTCCTTCCCCCATATGGAGCTCACAGGACCTGGGGCTTGTTGTGGCCTCCCATCCAGGGACCAACCAAGGCCGGCCCAGCTTAGCCTCCAAAATCAGGCAGGTTCTGGTGCATTCAGGCGATTTCAACCTATGGATTATTTATTTATTTATTTATTTCAAAGTTTTCTATACCAACCTTCTCACCTCGTTGAGTGACTCACCCCAGTTTCCAACCATAAAAACACATACAAACAGTAAAATATCATAGTTCACAATTACAGTAACACATTTAAAATAACACATATATTTAAAACTACGGTGGTCAGTCGTCATATTAAAATCAAATATACAACATCTTCCATCCAAAATCCTAGGGTGTTGTCTCATTCATTGAAAGCCTGTCTCCACAACCACGTCTTCACCTGTTTCCTGAATGTCAGGATAGACGGGGTGGTTGTGACCTCCGGAGGGAGAGAGTTCCAGAGCCGAGGGGCCACCACCGAGAAGGCCCTGTCCCTCGTCCCCACCAGACGCGCTTGCGAGGCCGGTGGGACCGAGAGCAGGGCCTCTCCAGACGATCTTAATAATCTTGATGGTTCATAGGGGAGAATACGTTCAGAGAGGTAAACAGGGCCGGAGTCGTTTAGGGCTTTATAGGTTAACACCAGCACTTTGAATTGTGCTCGGAAGCTAATCGGCAGCCAGTGGAGCTCAAGTAACAGCGGAGTGGTGTGCTCCCTGTACCCAGCACCCATTAGTAATCTGGCTGCCGAGCGTTGGACTTGCTGCAGCTTCCGGGCAGTCTTCAGAGGCAACCCCACGTAGAGAGCGTTGCAGTAATCTAAGCGGGATGTAACCAAAGCATGGACTACCGTGGCCAAGTCAGGCTTCCCAAGGTATGGTCGCAGTTGGCGCACAAGTTTTAGTTGTGCGAAAGCTCCCCTGACCACTGCCGAGACCTGGGGTTCCAGGCTCAGCGATGAGTCCAGGAGAACTTCCAGACTGCGAACCTGCGCCTTCAGGGAGAGTGTGACCCCGTCCAGCACAGGCTGTAACCCTATACCCTGTTCGGCCTTTCGACTGACCAGGAGTACCTCTGTCTTGGCTGGATTTAGTTTTAATCTGTTGTTCCTCATCCAGTTCGTCACAGCGGCCAAGCACCAGTTCAGGACTTCAACAGCCTCCTTAGTAGCAGGTGAAAAGGAGTGACAGAGTTGGACATCATCTGCGTACAGATGACACCGCACCCCAAAACTCCGGATCCTATCTTAACCTAGATCCTAAGCCTCCAGTTTCCTCACAAATGCACTCTTTCTGGAAAACTCTAACCCACTTGACAGGTCAAGGATCTATGGAGAAAAAACAGGGGTTTTAGGCAGAAGAAGACCTCTCCTTTTAGGGGATGGAAAGACAGGCCAGACAGAAGGGGGAACACAGCCTGGGAGTGGCACCCCCCAAGTGGCTGCTTCTTGCTGGATAACATTGTGAATCTCCTCTTTTTGCTCCTTTTAAGGAATCTGGAAGCAGAACTAATTCAGATATAGATGGAATGTCCAATGATGACATCATTAAAGAACTTGATCACATATTCAAGGTGAGTCTGTCCCCTTCTGTCCCATGCCGGAAATGGGTGCACCGGGCAGACTCCAAAGAGCTCTTTGGACACCAAACCCTGACAACTTTCTCTAGGAATTAAATCCTAGAGATTGAAGGGACCCCAAAAGCCATCTAGCCCACCCCCTGTTGCCAGTCAGGAAGGCACATTCAAATCAGTCCAGAGAGAAGGCCATCCAGCCTCTGCTTTAAAATCCCCAGAGTAAGAAAGAGACCCCACTGGACTCCAAAGCAGGGCATATTCCTTTAGATTAGGAAGGGAATCCCAAGGACAGGAAGACACAATTCATAGAATCATAGAATCAAAGAGTTGGAAGAGACCTCATGGGCCATCCAGTCCAACCCCATTCTGCCAAGAAGCAGGAATATTGCATTCAAATCACCCCTGACAGATGGCCATCCAGCCTCTGTTTAAAAGCTTCCAAAGAAGGAGCCTCCACCACACTCCGGGGCAGAGAGTTCCACTGCTGTATGGCTTTCACAGTCAGGAAGTTCTTCCTCATGTTCAGATGGAATCTCCTCTCTTGTAGTTTGAAGCCATTGTTCTGTTGCGTCCTAGTCTTCAAGGAAGCAGAAAACAAGCTTGCTCCCTCCTCCTCCCTGTGGCTTCCTCTCACATGTTTATACATGGCTATCATATCTCCTCTCAGCGTTCTCTTCTTCAGGCTAAACATGCCCAGCTCCTTAAGCCACTCCTCATAGGGCTTGTTCTCCAGACTCTTGATCATTTAGTTGCATTTTGGTGCTCTCCCAGTAGAAGGCCATCCACCCTCTGGCAAAAGGCTACCTAGGAGTCCAATGGTGTCTTCTTCCCTGGAGGTTATTTATTTATTGTGTCAGGAGCGAACCAAAACAGTTGTATTACATTAAAAAAACAGACAAACAAACAAACAAAACACAAAGTTTGCAAGGCATGGCTTTCTAGTAAATGTCCTTTCATCAGTATCTGGCCACTTGGAGTGCCCCTGGTGTTACTATAAGAAGGTCCTCCATTGTGCATGTGGCAGGGTTCAGGTTGCATTGCAGCAGGAGGTCAGTGGTTTGCTCTTCTCCGCACTCGCATGTCGTGGATTCCACTTTGTAGCCCCATTTCTTGAGGTTGGCTCTGCATCTGGTGGTGCCAGAGCGTAGTCTGTTCAACGCCTTCCAAGTCGCCCAGTCTTCTGTGTGCCCAGGGAGTCCCTCATTTGGTATCAGCCACTAATTGAAGTTCTGGGTTTTAGCCTGCCACTTTTGGACTCTCGCTTGCTGAGGTGTCCCAGCGAGTGTCTCTATAGATTTTAGAAAACTATTTCTGGAGGTTTATAAGCGGAGACTGGGTGACCATCTGTCAGGAGGGTTTCTATTGTGTCTTCTTCCCTGGTAGAAATGGGTTGGAGCAGATGGCCCGCGAGGTTTCCTCCAACCCTAGGATTCTATGATTCCCGTTGCCCCAGAAAAGTACAAATCCCAGAATTCTATTCCTGCCCGACTCTGGAGGGATCCCCTCCCATGCTTGTCTTGCTTGGAAGCCTGCAAATTATCCTCCTTTACAGAATGTGAGCCGGTTTACAGACCCTGCGGCCAAGGTATTTCTCAAAGCCAGGGTGCGGGAAGTCGAAGCCTTTGCCTGCCTGCTGCAAGAAAAAGAGCTACTGCAAAAACAAGAATCCCAAGAGGTGGCCCAGCTCAAGGCTGAGAATGAGCGTCTGCAGCAAGAGCTTGAGGAGGCCAAGAGGAGCCAGAAGACAGGAAACCTACCTTTTACGCTTCCATGGTCTAAAACAGGTGGGTGAAATGGCCCCAGGGCAGATGAAGGGGAGAGATGGGAGCAGGGCCGTAGCCAGAAAAAAATTTCAGGGAGGGTTGAAAATTTGGGGGGGGGAGTTTTGAAAATTTCGGGGGGGGGGGGTTAAAAAAATTTGGGGGGGGGGAGAGTTGAAACCTGCCTCTTAGGTCACGCTGAAGCAAAGAGCACAGCGGGGGGGGGGGGGCAGAGCAGCCTTCAATAGCCTGCAGCTCCGCCCTAGTCAACCACCTCCACCAAGTCTGGCCTCCTTAATGAGAGCATTCAACACCCCCCCCCCCAACATGGTTGCTTTGCTACATCGGCTATTGCTGCAAGTAATGACAGTGTGAATAAATTGTCAATATTTGCTTGAGATTGTGCTTGCATGGAGGGACTTTTAATTTTTTGCGTCTCATAGACTTAGCATGGGGATAAGCCACTGCCAGAAGGGACAGAAAGTTTCATCTATGCTGATGATCGTGCCATTACTGCTCAAGCAGGGAGCTTTGAGATGGTAGAACAGAAGCTTTCCGAAGCTCTAGGTGCTCTTACTGCCTATTCCAGGGAAAACCAGCTGATCCCCAACCCATCTAAAACACAGACATGTGCTTTTCATCTCAAGAACAGACAAGCATCCCGAGCTCTGAGGATCACCTGGGAAGGAATCCCACTGGAGCATTGCAGCACACCCAAGTACATGGGAGTCACTCTGGACCGTGCTCTTACCTACAAGAAGCACTGCCTGAACATCAAGCAAAAAGTGGGTGCTAGAAACAATCATACGAAAGCTGACTGGCACAACCTGGGGATCACAACCAGATACAGTGAAGACATCTGCCCTTGCACTGTGCTACTCTGCTGCTGAGTATGCATGCCCAGTGTGGAACACATCTCACCACACTAAAACAGTGGATGTGGCTCTTAATGAGACATGCCGCATTATCACGGGGTGTCTGCACCCTACACCACTGGAGAAATTACACTGCTTAGCCGGTATTGCACCACCTGACATCCGCTGGAAGTAGCAGCCAATAGTGAAAGGACCAAGGCAGAGACATCTCCAGCTCATCCCCTGTTTGGGTGTCAGCCAGCACGTCAACGACTTAAATCTAGAAATAGTTTTCTAAGATCTACAGAGACACTCGCTGGAACACCTCAGCAAGCGAGAGTCCAAACCTGGCAAGCTCAAACCCAGAGCCTCAATCGATGGCTGATACCAAATGAGAGACTCCCCCCTGGGCACACAGAGGACTGGGTGACTTGGAAGGCGCTGAATAGACTGCGCTCTGGCACCACGAGATGCAGAGCCAACCTTCAGAAATGGGGCCACAAAGTGGAATCCACAACATGCGAGTGCAGAGAAGAGCAAACTACAAACCACCTGCTGCAATGCAACCTGAGCCCTGCCACATACACAATGGAGCACCTTCTTGCGGCAACACCAGAGGCACTCCAAGTGGCCAGATACTGATCAAAGGACATTTAATCAACTACCAAGCTTGCAAACTCTGTCTTTTGTATGTATGTATGTTTGTTTGTTTGTTCTGTAAAAAATGTAACACAACTGTTCGGTTGCCTGGCACGATAAATAAATAACGCTATGGAATTCTGGTAAGTTGTAGTGTGGTGCATGCTGAAGACCTTGCAAAACTACAGCTCCCATGATGCTCAGTTTAAAGGGATGTCAAGCTGCAGCAATTCTACAAGTCTAGGGGCACCCTTAGAAAGGCATATATAAAGGGAACGCTCGTGATTCAATATACCGTATATTCCGGCATATAAGACGACTGGGTGTATAAGACGACCCCCAACTTTTCCAGTTAAAATATAGAGATTAAGACGACTCCCATGCATAAGACTACACCAGCGTATAAGACGACCCCTGATTTTTGAGAAGATTTTCTTGGGTTAAAAAGTAGTCTTATACGCCAGAATATACTGTATATATATATATAGAGAAAGAGAGAGAGAGAGAGAGAGAGAGAGAGAGAGAATCACGAGCGTTCCCTTTAAGAGACAGACTCTCCTTGGCCGGCTCTGCCTTCTTCGCCTGTTCCTGTCAATCAGGCTGGGAAGGGGCGCAAGGCCGAAGGCGATTGGCTAGCTGGAGGGACGCCCCTCCCCGCGCTGCTTCAGAGAAGAGAGAGAGGGGGGAAAGGAGAGGCAGAGATGGCAGCAGCAGAGGCGCACCGGGTGCTGGTCTATGGAGGGCGGGGAAGTTAACCAGTTAACCAAATTCATTACTAAACCAGTTAAAATTAATGAGTAAACCAGGTTTATTTTTTTTTAACCTGAAAAATTTCGGGGGGGGGGGGTGTTGAACCCCCAACCCCCCCCCCCCTCGCTACGGGCCTGGATGGGAGGAGGGCGGACTAAGTGCAGTCCTGGGGCAGTTTGGTTGTGTTGCATTACAGTCTTATCCTGCAGAGCTACTCCAAGGTCAATTTGCACAATAGAATCCCCTCAGAGGCTGCATCTACACTGCAGAAGGAAGGCAGCTTGATCCCACTTTAACTGCCGTTGCTCCATGCGATGGGAACCGGGTTGTTGTCATCTTGCAAAACCCTTATCCTTTCCTGCTCTGTGTTCTGGTGCCTCAATGAACTATAGTCATCATTATTTTTAGGTATTGACAAACTGAGAGCAGGCTTTTTTTCTGCATCTCTGGAGACTGGGATCCAGAGTCATGGTTCCAATCACAGGAAATGAACTTCCCTCTGAAGATTAAGAAGGACTTCCTAATTGTCAAAACAGCTGTCCAACAGTGGAACTCTCTGTCTCAAAGTCCATTGCAATCTCCTTCCCTGGAGGCATTTAAACAGTGGCTGGATGGCCATCTGTGGAACTCTCTGCCCTGTGGAACTCTTTGCCCTCGAGTGTGGTGGAGGCTCCTTCTTTGGAAGCTTTTAAACAGTGGCTGGATGGCCATCTGTGGAACTCTCTGCCCTGTGGAACTCTTTGCCCTGGAGTGTGGTGGAGGCTCCTTCTTTGGAAGCTTTTAAACAGAGGCTGGATGGCCATCTGTGGAACTCTCTGCCCTGTGGAACCCTTTGCCCTCGAGTGGGGTGGAGGCTCCTTCTTTGGAAGCTTTTAAGCGGAGCTGGATGGCCATCTGTCAGGGGTGCTTTGAATGCAATATTCTTGCTTCTTGGCAGAATGGGGTTGGACTGGATGGCTCAGGTGGTCTCTTCCAACTCTAGGATTCTAGGATTCTATCTGTCAAGGCTGCTTTGAGTGTGCTTTTTCTACCTGGAAGAAGGGTTGGACTGGATGGCCCATGGGGTCTTTTCCAGCTCCATGATTCTATGATCCCTCTTTCCTCTCAAAATATGAGACTCAAAGCAGCTACAACTCCTCCCTGGGATCCATACCTTGGAGCTGTGACAATTAAATGGTGTCAAATTACATTTATTCCAAAGTGTAGATGCACCCATAGTCTTCCCTGTGTAATAGGCTGGACTTTGAGGCCATTGGTGGTCAGGAATTGGTAGATCTCATTGCCATCATTATCTATCCGAACTTATCTATCCAAACTGGCCCAACTTATCTATCCGAACGTATCTCAGCCTATCAGCCCACCAGGACCCTAAGATCTTCCGGAGAGTCCCTTCTCTCTATCCCTCCAGCTTCAGAAGTGCGGCTGGCGGGAACGAGAGATAGGGCCTTCTCTGTGGTGGCCCCTCGGCTTTGGAACGCCCTCCCTATAGAGGTACGATCAGCCTCGTCGCTGATGGTGTTTAGGAAGAGACTCAAAACATGGCTATTCAAACAAGCATTCGGCTAATCTGTGGCAATTAAATCGAATCTTGGTGACTATGGACAGGAAATATGGACAACGAACTCTGGATTGTGATTTTAACTTGAGATATATGGGATTATTATTGGTGGCCCAATAATTTGTTATTGTATTTGTATATGTTTTTTAAACTGAGATTGTTTTTAAAATGCTGTAAACCGCAATTGAGTCGCCGTTCTAGGCTGAGAAATTAGCGGTATACAAGTGTACCAAATAAATAAATAAAATCATGTTGGCAGCTCCTTCTGCTTGGGATCTGTCTTGGAGTGATGCCTGGGCAGCTGAGGGTCCAGGGTTCAGAGTTACGCTGAGCTGGCCAAACCCACTGAGACACTCTTTCTCAAGACTCCAAGGAAGGTGACGTCTCCAAAGTGCAGTCTAGGTGCTACTCAAGAACTTTGTCCCTCTTCTCTTCCCCAGATTTCTGTATCCAGGTGCTTGACACTGGGAAGACACTGGGTGGCTGTGAAAAGCAGTTCGTAAAGAAGGTCTCTGACCACCTTTCCGATCATCACATCAACCTCAAGCCAGAGAGGTACCGAGAGGACTCTGGCCACTTCCTGCTGGTCTTCTGCCCAGCGGCTTCCTCAGTGGGCAGCGACATGGACAACGCTCTCAAGGGTCTGAGCAGTAAGTCCAGGCGTGTTGCAGTTAACCAAGCTGCTCCTTTTTGCAAAGTCTTTCCACACATAGCCAACTCTTTTGCATTTCCTCCTTGGGGTGACTATCTGGGTGCCTTTCAGTTGCAGCCTTGGCCTCAGGAGGGCCAGATTTAGGGTATCAGGAGAAACAAGCTTTGGGTGTTAGGTTTAGACAGCAGATCTGCAGCAAACTTTTTTTTGTCATGTCAGAAGCAACTTGAGAAACTGCAAGTCGCTTCTGGTGTGAGCGAATTGGCCATCTGCAAGGACCTTGCCCAGGGGACGCCCAGATGTTTTCCAGGAGTGGGTTTCCTTTCTTCCTTCCAAGGGGGAGATTCTTCTCAATTCCTGTTGTCTCAGCCCCGTACTTAACTAGAAGTTGTTTGTAAGTCGGGTGGTTGTGACTCAGGAACGGCCTGTAGTGCAAGCAGCAACCTCTTTCAGTTTCTTTTCTGAGCATGCACAACACAAACAGCATGTCGGAGCAAAAAAAAGATCAAATAAGCCTGCTTCACCTGCTGATCCCAGTGTGTGTAAACCACAAGGAAAGTGGAAATACCTGTTTTCCTGTCAACCTCTCATAGAAGAGACCGCCAGGGCCACCCAACCTGCCACAAAGGAAGGCACAACCCAAACATTCTCCACAATTTACATTGTTTTTGTGCTTCCAGGTGAGCCAAAGGCCGTCTTGGTGATGTTGCATCACAAACTGAAGGAGATCATCACCCCTGTGGATACCAGGAAGCAGGTGCATCACCCGGCCATTGTGCACACTGTCCACGCTTGCTATTCCCCCAAAAGTGGCATCTACACCTGCCAAATGAATGAAGAGGCCGTGGCCATTGTGGCCAAAATCTTGGAAGACCACTGCAAAGGGAGGAAAGGGGGACTCCACAATCCCTGGCACTCCGCCCAAGTCTCGGGATACTGCTAGCTGCTCAGGATGCTGCTAGCTGCCAGGCTTCTCATTATTGGGAGGGCAAGGATGTTGTTGGCTATTATATTAATTATACTAAAATTATGATTTTATGCTGGGCTCTCTGTAACCACAGATTCAACCATCTATGGCCTGGGATATTTCCAGAACAAATGAAACATTGGTTTTTACCACTTAATATACAGTATCTTAGGTAGACAACAATGCCCAGGATAGGTCTTTTATAAGGATAAAGTCTAATGGGGTCATTCATTGCTGGGTTTTGAATATTATGAATGACCCCATTAGAAAAAGCATAAAGATGTCAATGTTCCCCAAACCCCACCAGTATTCAAAGTTGGCCATATTGAGTATGTGTGCCAAGTCTGGCCCAGATCCAAGTGTTCTTTGGATGTGGGTGAACGATACCGTATATACTCGAGTATAAGCCGACCCGAATATAAGCCGAGGTGCCTAATTTTACCGCAAAAAAAATGGGAAATCGTATTAACTTGAGTATAAGCTGAGGGTGGGAAAAGCAGCAGCTATGGTCCAATTTCAAAATAAAAAATAGATCCCAATGAAATTAAATTAATCAAGGCATCAGGAGGTGAAATGTTTTTGAATTTTACATTAAACTGTAATTTATGTCGAACTGTTCATGAAAAACAAATACAGAACTTCCAAGGTAAAACTCCAAAATTTGAATCATGAATCAAACTAGGCACTTTACACATGAATCCAACTAAATCAAGGATTCCAAGGGCCAGGAAAAATGTCTTGACTCAATTTTAATGTTGCTTCGTCTGAACTATAGATTCTGTACTTGGCATTTTTATCCCCTAATTCTACTCATTGTCCCAAGCAGCCAGGAATGGATTTCGTTTCAGCCTTGACTCTGTTATCAATCTTTCTCTCAGTCTGGTAAAACACCTGAGAGTTTGGTTTGCCTGTGCTGAATAAAAACATGCATTCTATTTACTGGCTCATTAATTTCTGCAGCTGGCCCAAGTGCCCAGCTATTCTCAGGCTCAAAGCCTACCAGTTGCTAGGAATGATGGGAGCTGAAGTCCAAAACACCTGGAAGAAGACTCAAGCTGGCCCGTGCCTGGTCTACAGTCTCTCGAATGGCAACCTTGTTCGCCCCTTTGGCACTCTGCACGCCTTCAGGGGCCCTCTGTGGAAAGAGGGAGAACACACACAGAGAGAGATACACTGCCCTCTTACTTAGGTGATCCCTTGTAGCTTGAGGATGATTGTCTTCCAGATGTGGTGTCTTGGCGGTGGGTCCGTAGGTAGCTGTGGAGCCCTATTCTTGATCCACACGTTCTCCCGCAGTGAGGACATCAGTTTCCAGGTGGAAGGCAGTCCCTGGCAGGATTGGCTTGACATGCCTTTCTCTTGGCACATTTCTCCCTTTCGCCCTCCAGTCATGACTTCAAATTCTGCAGCACTGCTGGTCACAGCTGACCTCCAGTTAGAGTGCTCGAAGGCCAGGGCTTCCCAGTTCTCGGTGTCTATGCCACCATTTATAAGGTTGGCTTTAAGCCCTTCTTTAAGTCTCTTTTCCTGTCCCCCAACATTATGTTTCCCATTCTTGAGTTTGGAGTAGAGTAACTGCTTTGGGAGATGGTGATTGGACATTCAGACAACATTACCCTCTACCTCAGATCCGAGAATGCTTCTGGGACATGGCCAGGCAGCCCTGAAAATGCACAACAACTCAGTGATTCCAGTCAGCCTTTTTAAATTTGCTTTCACTTGTGTTCCAGAAGCATTCTCTCTTGACATTTCACCCGCATCTCTGTCAGGCATCCTCAGAGGTTATGAGGTCTGTTGGGAACTAGGAAAATGGGGTTTATAAACCTCACAAACTCTGAGGATGCCTGCCAGAGATGCAGGCGAAATGTCAGGAGAGAATGCTTCTGAAACATAGCCAGACAGCCCGGAAAACTTACAGCAACCCAGTGATTCTGGCCATGAAAGCCTTAGACAAGACATTTTCTGTCTGTTTGAAGACTTCTGATTGAGGTGTGTTATCATCAAAGACTTTAATTAGCTGTGTGAAGGGAAGACTTCTATTTTGTGTTGACTTGAAGACTGTGTATTCACTTATTTTGGTTGAAGCCCAGGCTTTTTTATTTGCTTTCACTTGTGTTCCAGAATCATTCTCTCCTGGCGTTTTGCCCGCATCTATGTCAGGCATCCTCAGAGGTTGTGGGGTCCGTTAGGAACTAGGAAAATTGGGTTTATAGATCTCATAACCTCTGAGGATGCCTACCAGAGATAAAGATGAAACATCAGGAGAGAATGCTTCTGGAACATGGCCAGGCAGCCCAGAAAACACACAACAACCCAGTGATTCTGGCCATGAAAGCCTTCGACAAGATATTTTCTGTCTTTCTGAAGACTTCTGCTTGATATGTGTTATCATCCAAGACTTTAATTTGCTGCCTGAAGGAAAGACTTCTATTTTGTGTTGACTTGAAGACGGTGTATTCACTTATTTTGGCTGAAGCCAAGCCTTTTCTATTTGGTTCTTCTGGGTTTTTTCAGGCTATATGGCCATGTTCTAGAGGCATTTCTCCTGACGTTTCGCCTGCATCTATGGCAAGCATCCTCAGAGGTAGTGAGGTCTGTTGGAAATAGGAAAATGGGTTTATATATCTGTGGAATGACCAGGGTGGGGCAAAGAGCTCTTCTCTGCTGGAGCTAGGTGTGAATGTTTCAACTGACCACCTTCATTAGCATTTGAAGGCCTGGCTGAGCCTGGGAAAATCTTTTGTTGAGAGGTGTTAAGCTGTGCCTGGTTGTTTCCTCTCTGCTGTTTTGCTGTTGTAATTTTAGAGTTTTTTAATACTGGTAGCCAGATTTTGTTCATTTTCATGGTCTCTTCCTTTCTGTTGAAATTGTCCACATGCTTCTGTGGATTTCAATGGCTTCTCTGTGTAGTCTGACATGGTGGTTGTGAGAGTGGTCCAGCATTTCTGTGTTCTCAAATAAGATGCTGTGTCCAGGTTGGTTCATCAGGTGCTCTGCTATGGCTGACTTCTCTGGCTGAAGTAGTCTGCAGTGCCTTTCATGTTCCTTGATGCGTGTCTTGGGCAATGCTGCATTTGGGTTGATGAACCAGCCTGGACACAGCATATTATTTGAGAACACAGAAATGCTGGACCACGCTCACAACCACCATGTCAGACTACACAGAGAAGCCATTGACATACACAAGCATGTAGATAATTTCAACAGAAAGGAAGAGACCATGAAAATGAACAAAATCTGGCTACCAGTATTAAAAAAACTCTAAAATTACAACAGCAAAACAGCAGAGAGGAAACAACCAGGCACATCTTAACACCTCTCAACAAAAGATTCCCCCAGGCTCAGCCAGGCCTTCAAATGCTAATGAAGGTGGTCAGGTGAAACATTCACACCCAGTTCCAGCAGAGAAGAGCTCTTGGGCCCACCCCAGTCATTCCACAGATATATAAACCCATTGTCCTAATTCCAACAGACCTCACTACCTCTGAGGATGCTTGCCATAGATGCAGGCGAAACGTCAGGAGAAATGCCTCTAGAACATGGCCATATAGCCCGAAAAAAACCCCGAGAACCTAGTGATTCCAGCCATGAAAGCCTTCGACAATACTTTTCTATTTGCTTTCGCTTGTGCTTCTGGAATTAGACTGGACACACCAGTTTGGGCCGCGTCAGAAACTTTTCCCCATGGTTGTGCTGTCGAAGGCTTTCAGGGCTGGAATCCCAGGGTTGGTGTAGGTTTTTTGGGCTGTATGGCCATGTCAGGAGAGAATAGTTCTGGAACATAGCCATACAGCCCGAAAAACTTACAACAACCCAGAGTTGTGATGATGGAACCAGTGAGGGAAGGACATGGCTCATCCAGGAACAAGAGTCCTGGTGCAGAGGGATAGGAGAGAATGAAGGGGCAGGCCTGTAGCGAGGGGGGGGGGGGTTAGGGGTTCAACCCCCCCCCCCGAAATTTTTCAGGTTAAAAAAAATAAACCTGGTTTACTCATTAATTTTAACTGGTTTAGTAATGAATTTGGTTAACTGGTTAACTTCCCCGCCCTCCATAGACCAGCACCCGGTGCGCCTCTGCTGCTGCCATCTCTGCCTCTCCTTTCCCCCCTCTCTCTTCTCTGAAGCAGCGCGGGGAGGGGCGTCCCTCCAGCTAGCCAATCGCCTTCGGCCTTGCGCCCCTTCCCAGCCTGATTGACAGGAGCAGGCGAAGAAGGCAGAGCCGGCCAAGGAGAGCCTGTCTCTTAAAGGGAACGCTCGTGATTCTCTCTCTCTCTCTCTCTCTATATATATATATATATATACAGTATATTCTGGCGTATAAGACTACTTTTTAACCCAAGAAAATCTTCTCAAAAATCAGGGGCCGTCTTATACGCTGGTGTAGTCTTATGCATGGGAGTCGTCTTAATCTCTATATTTTAACTGGAAAAGTTGGGGGTCGTCTTATACACTCAGTCGTCTTATATGCCGGAATATACGGTATATTTATATATGCCTTTCTAAGGGTGCCCCTAGACTTGTAGAATTGCTGCAGCTTGACATCCCTTTAAACTGAGCATCATGGGAGTTGTAGTTTTGCAAGGTCTTCAGCATGCACCACACTACAACTTGCCAGAATTCCATAGCGTTATTTATTTATCGTGCCAGGCAACCGAACAGTTGTGTTACATTTTTTACAGAACAAACAAACAAACAAACATACATACATACAAAAGACAGAGTTTGCAAGCTTGGTAGTTGATTAAATGTCCTTTGATCAGTAGCTGGCCACTTGGAGTGCCTCTGGTGTTGCCGCAAGGAGGTGCTCCATTGTGTATGTGGCAGGGCTCAGGTTGCATTGCAGCAGGTGGTTTGTAGTTTGCTCTTCTCTGCACTCGCATGTTGTGGATTCCACTTTGTAGCCCCATTTCTGAAGGTTGGCTCTGCATCTCGTGGTGCCAGAGCGCAGTCTGTTCAGCGCCTTCCAAGTCACCCAGTCCTCTGTGTGCCCAGGGGGGAGTCTCTCATTTGGTATCAGCCATCGATTGAGGCTCTGGGTTTGAGCTTGCCAGGTTTGGACTCTCGCTTGCTGAGGTGTTCCAGCGAGTGTCTCTGTAGATCTTAGAAAACTATTTCTAGATTTAAGTCGTTGACGTGCTGGCTGACACCCAAACAAGGGATGAGCTGGAGATGTCTCTGCCTTGGTCCTTTCACTATTGGCTGCTACTTCCCGGAGGATGTCAGGTGGTGCAATACCGGCTAGACAGTGTAATTTCTCCAGTGGTGTAGGGCAGACACCCCGTGATAATGCGGCATGTCTCATTAAGAGCCACATCCACTGTTTTAGTGTGTGAGATGTGTTCCACACTGGGCATGCATACTCAGCAGCAGAGTAGCACAGCGCAAGGGCAGATGTCTTCACTGTGTCTGGTTGTGATCCCCAGGTTGTGCCAGTCAGCTTTCGTATGATGTTGTTTCTAGCGCCCATTTTTTGCTTGATGTTCAGGCAGTGCTTCTTGTAGGTCAGAGCACGGTCCAAAGTGACTCCCAGGTATTTGGGTGCGCTGCAATGCTCCAGTGGGATTCCTTCCAGGTGATCCTCAGAGCTCGGGATGCTTCTCTGTTCTTGAGATG